GTGGAATTCTGATTCAACTGCAAGTAATGGAATCCTGGTTTAACTGCAGTCCTTGGAATTCTGGTTTTAACTGCAGTTTGTGAAATTCTGTTTTAGCTGGAGCTCTTGGAGCTCTGGTTTAACTGCAGTTCGTGGAGCTCTGGTTTAACTGTAAGTCATGAAATTCTGATTTAACTGTGGTTTGTGGAGCTTTGGTTTAACTGCAAGTCATGGAATTCTGCTTTAACTGCAGTTTGTGGAGCTCTGATTTAATTGCAGTTTGTGGAGCTTTGGTTTAACTGCAGTTCATGGAATCCTGGTTTAACTGCAGTTTATGGAATTCTGGTTTAACTGCAGTTTGTGGAATTCTGATTTAACTGAAGCTCATGGAGCTCTGGTTTAACTGCAATTCTTGGAGCTCTGGTTTAACTGTAAGTCATGGAATTCTAATTTAACTGCAGTCATTGGAATTCGGATTTAACTGCAGTTTGTGGAACTCTGGTTAAACTGCAGTTCATGGAATTCTGGTTTAACTGCAGTTTATGGAATTCTGGTTAAACTGCAGTTCATGGAATTCTGGTTAAACTGCAGTTCATGGAATTCTGATTTAACTGCAGTTTATGGAATTCTGGTTTAACTGCAGTTCATGGAGCTGTGCTTTAACTGCAAAGGGTGAACTGAGTCCTTGGTTCTGGCAGTGTTTGGGAATGGAAAGAGGAGCTTGGACAGCCCCAGCCTTTCTCTCCAGGCCCCTGTGGTGTTGTTTTCCCCAGAGCTGGGGCTGAGCCAGGGCTCTCCTGCTTCTCCTGCTCCCTTCAGCAGCTCTGTGCTGAACATCACGAGCAGTGCTCAGCCCTTCCCAACCTCCCCCTGCTCTTCAAGGGAGAGGAAAAGGCTCAAACTCTGAGTTGATTCCTCCTCCTTGCACCACTGCTCCCAGCTGGGCAGGATGTCACAGCCAGGGAGGGAGGTGAGACAGGAATCTCAGCATTTGGTGGGTGAAAGAGAGAGGTGAAGCCTTCCCTCCATCCCCTCTTTCCTGATCCCAAATTGTTCTGGAGAGACCACATCAAACAGGAGAGCAGGGAGAGGTGGCAGGGTTTCTACTGGCAGTGACAATTGGTGGCTTTTGTGATGTGGATCCCTGGCTGGGATTGCCCCACTGCTTCCAGCTCACGGGGCTGCCCAGTGAGGGGCAGAAAGAGGCTGAATCCAGAGGAATTTGTGAAGAGCAGTGAGGGGAGGAGGAGAGGAGAAATGCTTATGGAAAAAGAAACCTCTGGAAAGTCAGCAGTCTGGGGGATGTGGGATTTTTCTCCTCAGTGCTGGATGGAAGCCCTGCAGCTTCAAAGAGCAGAAGTCATCAAATTCCTGCTCCCCACATCTCTCAGCAGGTCTGGGCAGCCCAGGATGCTGAGCTGGGAGCTGCTGTGTGCCCCCCTCAGCTCCCCCAGCCCTTTGCTGCTTGTAACCACAGCAGAGGTGCTGGAAAAGGCTGGGGAGCTCTGAGGGGTGGGCACGGAGCCACTGCTGAGTCAGGGCATTCAGCTGCTCCCTCTCCAGCTCAGTTTCAGCTCTGGGACATCGGGGAGCCCAGGTTAACTCTGTAGGGAAGCAAGGCCCTAATAGTTATTAATAAATTATTAATATGAATGATTAACCTCGTTATTAGTATTACCAAGCAGTTATTTATTCACTGCCCACAGTTACAAGTGGTTAACTCTGTAAAGAAGCAAGGCCCTAATAGTCATTAATATTATTAATATTAATGATTACCTATTATTAATATTACCAAGCA